CCTGCTCCTGTGCAAGTCAAAGTTAGCTGATTTAGGAATATTATTAAATGCTTCTTGTGGCTTTCCTTTGGCTTCAGCAACAGAGTTTACGTTATATCAATGGAGACAAAAAGTCCTCTAAATGCATATTCAGGCTGGCAGTGATCTAACATAATGGTAGATGTTATGAGTTGCTCTGTGCAGGTGAGATCTTTCTTCTTCTAAATATACTTACTCATTTTTCTGTAAGTATTAATGACACTTGCAGAAGACGGGGGAGGTTGCTTGATAGTTTAGGTTTTGTAATAAAATTAATGATTTAATCAAGCCTCTGACAACCTAGCTCTATCTTTTCTCTGAATTTCAGAACAGAGGAAACATTTTTGGTGTTGTAGTTCATTCTGCTTTGTCTTTGGCTTTTCTGCCTTGGAGCTGGTGTACCACATGTCCATTTTTTTTTCCTAAGCTGTATTTGAACTCTTCTTCCTTTCAGATGCTTTGTAACCCAACTACCCTCAAATGAAGCTGTTCACTTATTCCATGGGCAGTCCAGGCACAAGTGTGAAATCCCTTCAAACGTTATGGCTTTAGCTTTTGTTATAGCGGACATTCCACTTGGAAGAATAAGTTGCATTTACCTTTTGCATCTGAGTTTTATGAATTATATATAAATGTTGTTTACTGTTAAAATGGTACATGGTCTTTCTGTAGCGTCTGTGTTTTATTAGAGTAATTTAAAAAGAAAACCACTAAAACGATGTTACTACTGGGTGTCTGATTGCCAAGTTAATCTCTTATCACAAGTCCCATTGATCTTCTGTTTGAGCAGCTGAGAGTCTATTTTATGTATAGCGATCTTTCATAAAGTTTATTCCTGGTAATAAAGCTAACTGGGGTGAGTGCCAAGCTATTCTCAGAGGCAGTCCTCTCTCAACAAGAGAAGTATTTTATTTTGTTAGATGGGGTTATTGTGTGGGTATGTACTTGTGGCAGAAGTAGTGAAATTGCTGGGGAGTGAGTCAAACTAGGTTCAGAGGTGTACTCTTACTGGTATGAAGTTAGTGGCATTACTGCGCAATAGACGTTCAGATCTGACTTCTAATATGATGCCCAGAATCATGTGCATTTTCTGCTTATTACTGTATGGTATTATTAAATTGGATTGTTAATCTCTTCTGTGGCATGGCAAAAACCTTAAAAAAACACACTACAAAACAACAGTCCCCCCCACCCACCCTTGAACTTTGCATATATTAAATGCATTCAGTTTTATTATGTGTAAGAGGAAGTAATTTCATTTCACATAAATTGTTTATTGGTTTATCTGAAATGATATTTGTTTTTAGATTCTTTAAATCTTTCTACTAGTAGCCTGCATTTGTGTTGGGGTACTTAAGGTATCTTCATACCAAACATACATGTAAATTTAAAAAATACATTTCAAAGTATTACAGGGTAACTTTCAGTAACATTACTTTTCATAAAGTAATTCTTTTAATAACTTCAGAGTTTCTGAAGTATTACTGTGTATTCAGAAGAGTTCAGTAGATGGCAGGGCACATGTTTTTTTATGCTAATTACTTTGTTAATTATTTTGTTAATATTCATATGAAAATGGCAATCTTACTGCTATGCACAACGGTCTGTATGAATTCCTGTAGTCCTGTGGCAGTTTTGGGAAGCAGTGGTGGTTTTTTATGCAGCTTGATGCAAATGTTTGGCATTGCAAGGGCAGGCTCCATGTCTTGATCTGTTCCTGTGCTCTTGTCTGTAAACTAAACTCCTGGGGGTTGACACCTACCTTCTGGGAAGCCAATTTCGAGCTATCTCCTCTCAGCCTGTTGTTGCAGTAAATTTTAAATTACTGCCAGTATCTTATCTTTGGAGTTCTCCTGCTTTGGTGACCTGGATATACGGGTTTACTTGCAGTTCCTAATGGACACAAGAGGTAAGCACAGATGCAGAGAGTGACGAGGGGCATGGATGTGCCTGAAGTGCGCACAAGCACCCTTGGGATGGTGAGGGAGTGAGTCAGGATTTGCACCCCAGGTATCAAAATACTAAGGTGAAGGAGTTGGTGGGATGCTGGGAATTAAGTGGGAGGGAGGAGAGTGGAGAGATGCAGTGTGTCCTGGTGTTTGCTATGCACTAGGCTGCTGGAGGGAATAAAGTATTTAAATCTCTAGTAACATCATGCTTCTCCTTTCATGCTCAAAGCAGGTACTGATGTCAGAGCTACCTGAAATAGCTCTAATTAAAATCAGCAGGTCACTGCTCAAGCTGCTTTATCAGGCTCTTAGCAGATTCAGTCAGTCTAGCTGTATCCATTGCTTTTTCCGTCTTTGAAGGGATTTCTGTACCATCAATCATAAAACTTAACCTTCCTTTTAAATTTCTCCTTGAAAAAAAGCACACAAAAAAAATCTAGAACACACTTTTATCATGTAGTAGCACATTATTATCCAAACAGAAAGATTAAGTTATAATGAACTGTATAAGCAAACTAGAGAAAATGGAAGGAGAAAACTTCTGTTATTTCAGCTCATGTTAACTATTTGTAATCACAGTGGGAACAAACATTATTTTCCTATTGCTCCTTACCTGTCATTTGAACTTACTGATTTATTTTCCAATAATTGGCAACTAACTGCAAGTGATGAGTAGTCTGCATCATTGTCCTCCTTGTCCTGTGGTGGTCTGGTGTGAAGATCTTTGTATGATGAAGCAGAAGCAGGTTAGCTTTAGCCAGGCTGTTCGACTATTGTAGTCATTAACACCACATGATAATGGTGGTATGTTCAAGAGCATCAAACTGCACAGATTTGTCATTGTAACTAATGATGTCCTTAATCATGACTTCTCTGAGCTGAAAAGTATCAGTGTGCCAGTAATCCAAGCATAAAATAAAAGCCTGCATTTTGAAGTACTTGGAGAGCCTTGTGAGACTTCTGCATCTCCAGACACATAATGAAATTGGGCAGTGTTCTCTGGCAACTTTGCATTATTCCTTTAAAAACATCTATTCTTATCTGAAGCATTGTTCTACAGCCAAACTTCGGAAAGGTTTTTTAGTTTGCATTTTTCTGCCCTAGATTAATTCTTTTCATATGGAACTTTTAATGTTGGATTTAAAACTCAGTGTTAGCCTTCCCTTACTTTTTTTTTATATTGCATCAAATCTGGATTTTCTCTAAATAAAAATATATTTGTTGTGTAAATAGCTTACAGAAACTTGGAAATAAAGTACTGAAATGTTCGAGCTAATTAGAAATATTTCTAAGTCTAGTATAGAACTGACAAAATTGCACTTTTGCTGGAGTATTTTAAAGTGTGATGCTGGTTTTCACTGGCTAAACATTGCTCTTACCATACGTGATGTGCAACAGTGGTGACTGTAGATGAGAAATAGTCTGTTTGCAATAAACAGTTACTTCTTTAAAATGGGAAAGCTTGGATTTAGCAACTGATGGGCAATATGCTGGTCTGCTGTACAGCTTTATTATACAGTAGAAGAGAAAACCCATATATTGTCACAAAGGCATTATGTTCAATCTGTCTGGGACTTATTTAGCAAGTAAGAATGTTAATTTAGTGTATACCGGCTAAGATAACTAGTTGTCTGGGGGGTCAAGGTACTGACTTCAGAGGCATTTCTGAACAAAGATGTTGCAGTTGGTGGGTGGATGGCACTGGTCTCAGCTGTTGTATGAGCTTGCATAAATAGTATCATCTCCACTTTAATCTTTCGGGTGTTCAGAGGTAGTGTGCATATTTCTGTTTAACCCCTGGACACTTGCTGGCATGCGTGACCCTTTAACAATTCCTATCCCTCTGTCCATCCCTGGCACCTTGGCTCCAAACAGTCTGGGAGGGTAGCCTCTAATTTTGATGGTTTTTGTTAAGAACGTCTCTTTAACAAAAAGCGTTTTAATTTTGTCAGTATATAGTTTCTGTTGTGCTTGTTACAGTAGTGTATGGCACAATTCTGAAACACTTCTTGTATTTCCACTGTACGATATTTACTCTCCTTTGTGTGTAATTATCAGTTAAAAAAATATTAAAGCTGGTGATGATGGTTACTGGACTTTGGCATCAGGAAAAAAAGCTTTTTTTATTCCAAAAGACAACAACAAAAGCGGGGCCAGTGTGTTTCATAAAGGAAAGTTGGCTTTTAGGCTGTGTTTTAGGATGAGTATTTGATTTGCCTTACCTTAAATTTTGAGAAAGAAAAAGATAATTAAACCTTCAGTCTTCATGGATCTGTTTCTCCAAAATTAATGTGTCTTTTTCTCACCTATTTTTATATCACTTCAGAGACATTGTTCTACTAGAGTAGTTTTAAATGTTCTTTCTGAGGCTTGTGAATGTTGTGCTTTGGAAGGAAGTATCCAAAAGCTTTCAAGCATTGGAGCTTTCTGCATATTCCTCTCCTTTTTTGGTTTTTGGGTGTTTGTTTTGTTTGTTTGTTTGTTTTTTAATAGGGAAAAGGGAAATGATATAGTAGATGGTGTGTTGTAGTTGCTGGTTTTGAGTAGCTTTTATCACTTTTGCTGGTATAAATTTAATCATGATCAAATACCAACACGGTAAGTGTAGCAAATACAAAGAAGGACCAAAACAAACTTCACAGTGATTTGAACTATTAGATCAGTAAAAGTACGTGGAAACTGAATCTTCCCTGAAACTAATGCCTGTAAAGCTCTGTGCACAGGAAGAGAAAATAAACAGCAAGGCTGGGAAATGGATTGCAGTAAGTTTGTTTCCGTTTTGCAGTGATGATCGTAGAGGTGCTCGCTTTCATGTTGCTCAGATCCTTGAATTTCTTTTGTAAGGATGGAGCATGGTTGCTTCCAGAGATGGTTCACCCAAGGATCTATACTCCTGAAAGTTCGAGTTGTTCTAGTTTGTGTTAGAAGAAACTGAAGTAGTAGTCATGGAAATATGTTAAAATGGACAATGTAGGTGGTATTACGTTATTGGACATCTTTTAGTTATATTATTCCCCCTTATTTTCTTTATAGCAAACTTTGGCCTGTTCCATTTTAACGGCGTTGTTGAGCGAGTTCTCAAGTTCAAGTAAAACCAGCAACATTGGACTAAGCATGGAGTTCCATGGTAACTGTAAACGTGTATTTCAGGTAAATTAGTTCTGTATCAATATATGCTACTTGTCTTTCTAAAATTTAAACACTGAGAAACATAAGTCCCTTCTTGTGCCAGGTGCACGCCCATGTAGTGTGTACCTAACAGCATTTAATAGGACAAATATGATGTTGTAAATGCAGATACTGGCTACTTCAGGAAAATTGATCATGTATTTTTTTAAAAACTTGTATCAGGAAAGTGCAATCCCTTTTTGCCCATTTTATGAATGTAGAGCTACAGATCTTTATGCGGTTGGACTCTTTAATTCCTTGGCTACCAATTGCAAACAAAACGAATACTCTGTGGAACAATGATAGTCTTAAATATAGCTTTGGTTTAAAGCCAAGGAGAGCTATGTATTTAAAAATATTATTGCAGATGGTGTAGTCTGGTTGTCTCAGATGTATTGTTTGGCCAGGCAGAAATGTTTTTGTGAAGGCATTGCTTTAAACTGACTGTTGTGGAACAACTTACCAACTTTTCTTCGTGCCAAAGACCAACCCTCTCCTCCACCAGTTGTTAAAAACATATTAAGTTTTTCTTTTAATGACTAACATTTATGAGAAGATTTTTTTTTCTTATTCTTTACAAACACCATCTATTAATGCTGGCAAAAGGGGGGGGCGGTTCTGGCTAACTACTTCAGAATATTTTCTGTATTTTAATGAAAAATAGTGTGAAAACAGAACTCTTATCTTTAAAAAAGTATTTATTTTTAATCAACATTTTAATTAATTACTGAGAGACTCTTAATAATATATTGTGTTGGTCCTGACTGTAGGAGGACGATCTGCGGCAGATCTTCATGCTCACAGTAGAGGTACTTCAGGAATTCAGCAGACGTGAAAACCTCAATGCTCAGATGTCTTCAGTGTTTCAGCGTTACCTTGCACTAGCCAATCAGGTCTTAAGCTGGAACTTCCTTCCTCCAAATTATATCCTTTCAATGTCAGGCCCTTTATTTCAGCTGACTTGGGTCAATTCTACCAGGTGATAAGGAAAGTCTTTGTGAAGAGAAAAAAATGTAAAACTTATAAGCCTTATATTTAGTCCTTGATTTATGTTTTCTTCCATTAGTGCTCCTGACACCCCCATGCTTGCTAACAGAAGTTTACATACAGAAGCTGCTGTTACTCTTCATTAAAATTTTAAAGTATTTTATATAAAAAGCAAAACTTGTTAAGCAGAGCAGCCCCCAGTTATGGGTTGATGGTCTCTCTGGTTGGTGCAGGGGAGAGGAAAAGTTAGTTTTCTGCTTTAGTGCAGAACTAAATGGTGAGGTCTAAGCTCTGTTGAATTTTTATGTGGAGATCTGCTCTGTCCTACTTCTCTTCCTCTGAGAAAAGGAGGGAGCAGGTAAATGCCCTGTCATCTAGGAATGTACCTGCTCAACCGACTCCCCGTAAAAGAGCATGATCATATACTAGAACATGTAATAGATTCTCTTTGACCTGAAGAAAAAGTATTTGCTAGCTGAGAGAAGAAATGACATCTCCTTTTTTGGCAATACACAGGTGCCATTGATTCAATTTTGACATCTTTGTGATGTGTGCTGATTATGAAAGTCCAGACAAAGGTGGAGATGGAAAGTAGAGAAGGAAATGGGAAACAGAAAGAGTCTGAGGGAGAGAAATGAAAAGATACAAAAATGATTAGCCCAAAAAATTGACAGAATACTGTAGAAATAATCTGTATTTAACAGAGGGTTAAGACAGTGCTTGCAGTAAAACATTACAATGCCTCTTTTAATAGCTAGACTGTCTTTAAGATGCTCAGCAAACTTTCCAAGAGCCAAATATTTAAGCTGGCTTATAAACTTTTTCTTAAAACCTTTTGAAATTGCTGCGAAGTCATACATACTGCAGCAGTCTGGATGTTGCTTTCAAATCCACTGTAAAGGATTTTATTTGCTTTCCCAATTTGATGGTCAGGAGGCAATGCCTGTGTGTTTCTATTGTCTTTGGTTCCGTTCATTATGCAGTGGGCAGCCGGAGTGAAATTTATTTGAAATACTTATTTTGAATACCAGTTATATTGTCTTTATGGAAGGTGCCATGGATTAAAAGTAAATATCCCACTCCCTTTAATCACTGAAGTGATTTGACAGGGGTCCAGGGAGGAATTTAGTGCATGTGCCTACAAGACTGAGATGAGTGCAAGTATTGTGTCTTATAAAATTTTTTTGGAAGAGGTTTTGGGATTTCTAAGAATTCAAATAATGTGTGAACACTTTTTTTTCTTAGCTGTAATCTTACAGAGAAAGGAGATGCTCTTGTGTTAGGCAGTGGTGGGTAGAGATGGTTCCCTCTGCATTTTGGCCTTGTTCTGTGCAAACCTCTGATGTAGTCCCAAATAGTGATGTTAGAATTTGAAAGTGAAGGCTCTGTTTCTTCATGAGCATTTTATCCTAGGCTAAGGTTTGCAGTGGTGGAGCTAGATACATACAAGCAAAATGTAAAGCCTCAGTTATGTTAAAAGGAGTTACAGCTTTCATTTATAACTCTTTAGTATGAAGGGATTTAGTCTATAGGTGCTAGTAAATAAGTGTTAATTTAAATAGCTAAGTAAGCCATAGTACTGCTTAAGGTTAATAGTGTTTTCTAATACTTGGCCTACTTGAGATACTACAGCTGTTAAATGAATTCTGTCCACTTCTGGAGATCAGATGGACCTTTAATCTGAACCACCACAAGTGCTCTTACATGGCTCTATTTCAAATCTTTTCATAACTTCTGTTCCACTTGATACCATCTTTTTGTTTTCTACCGTTGGACATTTCATTTTGCTGTAAGAATTGCAGCACCAGCTTGGGTCTGCCCCCTCTGTATAGCAACCTGTTTTCACAGAATCACAGCATGTTAGGGATTGGAAGGGACCTCGAAAGGTCACAGAAGTTGGCATGGCTTTAACCATCCTTGAGAAATGTGGGTCTTAGCTGACAAAGATTCGAGGAGTGTTGAGGTTTACAGCACCATGTTGATTATATTGTAGCATAAATCTGTCTTCCTTATGAAGACTAGTTTAAAAGTAACTATTGACTGTTAGCTCATGGGCAGCGAAACTTAACTTGGCTGCCGTGTCTAAGTAGGTAGCACATTACATGAGAACATAAGAATTGCTATGTTGATTGATCAGTTGGTATCGTTTTGCTGTCCTCTTTCAGATCTTGACAGTACATATTCTGAAGCAGTGGGCATAAATTTAATACTCGAAGCATGGAGTAAAATGATCCATTGTATCTACAGATACATCTTTTTTTTCCTGTAGTTGGTATTTCCCCTGGCAAGATAGTATTGATTCTCAGTATTCCTTACAGCGTAACAGTAACCTGCAGTATTTGTATAGAATCTTCAGCAAGATTCTTGTATCTCCCAAAAAAGGAAGTAGTATAAATGTGCATTAACTCTACAGTAGCTGTTGCCAAGAGGCATATTATTTAAATCACAAAATTGTGAGAAATACATCAAAATATATAACTTCTCAAGAGTTCTTGTGATGTTACAGGATAACTTAGTATGTGTTGGATTGTTGGATGGGAAGTGCTGGCACCAATTATAAGAGAAGAATTGTAGTAAGTCTGTATTGTCTATTGCTAGCAAGAAGAGCTGGCATAAAAGATACATTCTGGAATAGCTGTCTCATTGGAGCAACAAAAGAAGAGAGGCTGGATCCTACCTACTTCTAAGCTGGAACTCAATAATTTTTTAGTCTCTTGGGATGTAGTGCTTGCAGTAGGAAGAGCAGGGCATGATGACCTCGGAGGCCTCCTTTTAATCATGTGCAGTTTCTTCCATTTCATTTTCTAACACACAGGCAATCATCTATTGTTATTTTTATCTGCTGCCTCAAGGTATTAGTTCACCTGGTGTTTGCAGATGCTTCGGAGGTTTTTGGCAGTACTGTTGGGAACAGCAATAGCATAGGATTCCTATTTTGCACTAAGAACATATGGCAGTCTGTTGTGGCATATTGCCTTCTGCAGAGTTTCTTTTTTGGTGCTGTTACAGCACCGTTAAATATTGTTTACCTGAATGGAACTAGTTTTAACTACATCTTTTCTTAAATTAATGTTTTGACTAATTAAGGAAGTGCAGGTGATCAGGACTAAGAGGCACAGCCCTCTCCTTTACAACAGTGGTTTCAAGGATCTCAATCCTAGTACATTGTGAGTGTCCAAAGTCTCCAGTTAAGGAGCTGAGTGTTGCTGGACTTCAGTGCACCTTGACATGGACATACAATATGTCCTTTGGAGTCAGGATGTGATTATAATTTATAGTCTTTTACCTCCAGAGGTGTTTCTCACTTCTTCTTGACTTTGAGATTTATATGTTTTGGCAGCCACCTTCTAATGGACTTTGGATGAATGTCCTCACATGCAAAAGTTCGAAATGTAAGATTTTTGTCCAGCTGTCTTGCATCTACAAAAAGGTACTTACCTGTCATTAGGAGTGTCATAGAACTACTTATCCCTTATTCATTAACATATATATATATATATATGAACTTTAGTTCTTTTGGATTTGGTGCCTCTACTTGCTTGAAGGCAAGCTGGCAAATTTTCAAGTGAATAGATGATTGGATTTAAAATAAAGGTTATGTAGACCTAATGGGATGCCTTCCACTAATGTGCATTGTTGCTGTTCCATTGAAATTAATGGTGTGATGCAACTGTATGAACTGAGTGAAGCTGTTGTCTGATCTGAAAACTTTTTTTTAAGTGTGTGTGTTCCTCAGCCACACGGTTAAAGAAACAAAGCTCTTCATGTCTCTGTTTTGAAAATATCTTTTAAACCTTAAGCTGGAATGAGACACCTTTCTGGGAGATCCTGTGAACCATATAGTACTGCAGACTTTCAAGATTAACTTGGTCCAACCCAGATTGGTAGCATCTGTTATGCATAATGGAAGTGCATGAAAAACAGACAGAATACTCCAGAAAACTTGAGGTTTGTTTTGAGGAACGATTCAAGTTGCCATTGCTGCTAAAAAATCATCCTGTCCTCGTACCTCCCATGAACATGATACTGAGCAGGAAACTACCTGGCTGAAAACTTAGCAGGTTGAGGTCCCCAGTTTGATTTGTTGCACAGCTACAGAAATGATTGAACATGTACCGAGGGGCAACAACACAGATTTCTTTCAGCAGCAGAGCTGCTTTCCTTAGGCCTTCTATTTGTTAGCAGCCTGGGATTATTCTGAATCTACTGCAGCAGTCTGTCCTTATCTGAAAGATAAAGGATTAGAGTACTATCCTGGCTATTGTTTAGGATATAAAGAAAAATGCAATGTAACTAAAATAACTGTATTTAAGAAAATGCGGAAGAGAGCTGCATTTTACTTTTACCAGACTTGCCATCTTAGGTGAAAACTGACCTGACTTTGAAATTTCTGATGTTTAGAAGTTATTTCTAGGGTACTATGTGATTTCTTGACAATCCCTTCTAGCAACTTTTTAAGACTAAGTTGGGCAAAACCAAGAAGATTGACAGTTCCCCTGAATTTGGTCATAACTGCACTAAACATGTTTGTATTGATACTGAATTTTTTAACAATTACTATTTCATCATTTGGGTTTTCCTGAATAATTTCTTAAGTCAGCTTGCAGTGTAAGAGCATCTTAAAAGCATTAATATCAGAAGAGGAAAAAGAGACCAGTAATGATGCTTTTTGTGAAGGGAAACTGATAAAATATATAGGTTTTTCCTCTTTTGCTCTCTTGCCCCACTAGTTTTAAGTTTCCAGTTTTGCAGTGCTTTGTCATCAGCTTCCTAGATGTGAGCCACTATATAGTGGAAAGGTGTGACTCTTGAGCTGCACCTGCATGGCAGTTACTTCTGCATAGGTGGTTTAAGTGTAAGTTAGGCTTTAAAGTGATCAGCTTGTATACTATTAGCTGTATAACCATAGCAGCAAAATGTAGCAGGAGCTGCAGAATCCGCTTGGGTGGTCAACATGAGACTTGGTACTGGCATGGTACGCTGCTAGCTGCTCCGGAACTGGCCAGCTTTAAAATTAGCTTGGGTCTTCCTGCACTTCCTACGCCTGTTGCTGCAATCTGTGTCCGGTGTCTCCAACACAAAGTGGTTGTTTTATTCTCGTGACAGTTAAGAATACTTGTCTTTAATGAACAAATATTTAAGCATAAGTTCCTTCTCCTGAATGCTGGATACGTTTGCTGAGACTGTAAGTTATAAAAGATTTGTGAAGCATTTCTCCATAGGGGGCAGCAAGCCTCTGCATCAGTTTGAGATAGTTGCTCCTAGACTCATACCATGTGCTTGACTGATTAGCTAGCAAGCCAGAGGAGGTCTTAAAAACCAAAATATCATCAGTATGTTGGCATTATAACACTGGGTGACAGATTTCCAAGCAGTTACCGTTCTAATGCAGTTTTTTATTTGTAAAATATAGGTCTGAGAATGACACAAAGCTCTCCAGAAATGTTCCAAACAACAAAGGTAAAGTGATTAAAGTAACTTTTAAGGAAGATATTTGGACCTTAGCACTCTGGGAGTTTTCCCACCATTTCTGAGTTGTTCTTCGCTCCTCTGGACAAATTTGTGAATGGAGGTCTGGCAGAAGAAATCTCAGCTTTGATTTTTGAGTTTCTAATTTACTGCTTTGTGGAAGGGTGAGCCTTGCCTCTCAAGAAAAAGACCATGAGATCCAGTCTCAGATACTGGGATTTGTGGGAGGTCCAGAAGTGGAACATTGTAATCCCTCGTGGCTGCCTTAGGGTATAAAATATTTTGATACTCATCTTCACTCCTCAGTCCCTTCCTGGGACAGAGGTAAAGAGTGGGAGGAAAACTGCACATTTCTTTATCTTTTCTTTTTTTAGTACATTCCTCTAAGAAGCATGAGACTTCAAATTTTTTTCTTTTACAATTTTTTACAATTTTAAAATAAAAAATTTATAATTTTAAAAAGATTCCTCTTATTTCTCCAGCTCACGAAATTAAACTAAACATAGAGCTTATGGCTACATACATAAATTTAGGCAAAGATAAAAGAAAATGTTTTGTGCATTATGGTCTTCTCTTCCTCTCTAGGCACTAATTAGTGAGCATATGAGCCTTATCATATATGAAAGCATCTATTCTTATGATTTTCTTGAGACATGTTATTGAATAATCTGTTCCAATTCAAGCAGAAGTTTCTGGTCTATGTAGGAATCAGTGTCAGAATTCTTGTGAAATGGGTGAAACATTGCTGTGCTTCTGGTAGTGGTTTCTTAGCTTGGATTTCCATGTCATCCGAAGTGAACTGCAGTGGGAGTTACTCATTCTTCAGTAGAATTCAGAATGTTACAAATGTTTGCATATATTACCAGAAGTGGTTTACAATTGTTTTTTGGGGTTTTTTTTTGTTTTTTGGGGTTTTTTTTTTAAAAAAAAGCCCTCCAGGATGTCATAGTAGACTAATCTATGCTTATCATAAATCTGTTATACCTTGAGTGTTACAAAAAAGCATTATACTAGTTCTGTACTTTTTGTTTCCTCATAAGTATGGAGACATGAATCAATTTTTGGTGATGAAGACTGCATTTGTCCTATGTACACCCATGTACTAGGTAATTTAGTGCTATCTTTTTCAGGTTTGGTATAACTGGGCTGCTGCTAATAAGACTGAACCGTAGCACAGAATAAGTTGAGGTATTTCATAGTAGAAGCGTCTCCGCAGCCAGCTTAGGCTAATGCTTGTGTGCATCTAGTTCATGATAGAAAATGGGTGTAAGATCTCCATGATACACATAATTAGTATTGTTCAGTGAACAGATAATTTACACACAAATCTGCTATTGTCACATGTGTCATCAGTCCGTTAGCATGAGAAACAGTACTAAAAATAACAGGATAGGGCTGCTAAATACTAAGGCTTGTTAAAATAGTGACAGCAAACTCCCTTCTTTCATTCCACGAGAAAAGTGTTATGTTGCTGGTCCCCTCCGTACTCAACCTAGTGAAGAGCAAACTGATTTTCAGTGATTGATAGTGTGTCTATGATCATCTTCTGATACTGGTGTATTTCCAAGCTGGTTGGAGAGTTACAGCAAAAGCCACTCTTGTCAATAAACAATTTTAAAGTACTGTTTTTTCTAAAACATTTCAAATTAAAAAAGATAGCTTAATGTGACTGATAAAATTAGTCTTAATTTGTAATTTTACTCCTGATAAAGGATGCTTGTGTGTGATAATTTCATCCCCCCTCGCCCTGCCTTTTTATTTTCATCTGGGAGGACTGAAGCATTTTTTGATGACTCAAGTGACACATATATTTCAGATGGAAGTAAAATAGACAATTCTGTGTTTTTTAGTTTTTCCCCCACTGAAATAATGCAGATCTGGTATGGTTAGACACACAGTGATAATTTTGAAAATGGTGAAACTGGTTTTGTTTTCACTAATGTGAAAAATCCTTGATTGTTCTTATGCCTTATAATGCACTGACAACAGTTCTGGACACGTACCATCAGTGAAGGTCCACTTGGTGCTGTGCTGTGGAAAAGTTGCTTTTTTGGAATATGATTCTACACGGTGGTGTTAGAAATTTCTGGTTTTGACAGAACTCGGAAGGCAAGTGTAGATAAACTAAAATTGTGCACACAGTCCTTCACATTAAACTAGATGTTTGCTTTATATAGATCTCTTAAACAAAACCCATCAAAAGTTAAGGGGTCTGCTTTCTTGAATTACACCATTGTGAAATTTATTTTCTTCTAGACATATCAATACTTTTTGATACATGTTTTTTATCATACCTGATGAGTTACATCACAAAAGTCAATACAGTTTATTATGAATAAGTAAATTACATGCAGCTGAGCATGCTTATTCTGATGGTTGGGTTAGAAAGGGATCAGAGAGGATAATGAAGGGTTTAAAAAAGACAAATGAAAGCCTAAAGTTGCTCAGTCAAAGCAGTTTTACTACTACTTGGATTGCGGGGTGTCACAGAAGAAAGCACTTTCAGAAATATTTGATAAACACTCTTCTGTGTGATCAGACTGACAAAGAATGTAACCTGCTTGTTTAAATGTTTTTGCTCATGTCTCTGTTTTTTCTGTACTAGAACATTTGCAGAATTCCATAAATTATTCCAAAACACATGGTAAGAACTGAAATGAGTACAGCAAAATCATGGCTTCCTGGAGCGTGCATTTTTCACGCACATCACTTAGAAGCATATGTTTTGTATGATGATGCCTTCTGGTGCCTTATGCTTTTGTTCTTCACAGCGTGATTAAAAAATGTAGATTAATGCAGGGCTAACATATCTGCATTCTGTGATGCATATTTGCCTGTTTAGAAAAATAGGATATAGATTTCAGTGAGCTATCTTTAGCCATCATAAGGCCTTTTTAAAAGCTGCCAGGAAAATTTTTTAGAAAATTATTTCCCATTTTGCATGAATTTTAACACCTGTTAATTGCGGTTGCTTTTTTCCCTTCTCGCTGTGTCACATTAGACACCCTGGTTATCAAAGTGATCGTATCACTATGGTATGTCTCATAATTATGATCAAACTGTTATCTAACATTCCTGGAGCATTCTTTTTTTCAATACTTAATACCTTTTATTCCTTGGCCTCATGCATGAATTATGCTGTGTATGTGAAGAGGCTTAAAGTTTGTTTCCATTACATTCTTTCTGAATGGATCCTGTTGTATCTAGGATTTTTTTAAAGCCAAGTAGGAATGTTATTGTTGACCTTGACACCAGATAACTGGGCAGACATTATATAGCTATGTTTGAATCCTCACAAAATGTGATGCTAAAGCCAACAGAATCCTGGCGCGAGACCCTCCTGGACAGCAGAGTTATGGAGCTTTTCTTTACAGTAAGTTTCTTTCTTCAACTTTCATAGTCCAGACCGCAGGGAAAGCAGCTCCTTCCTGCTCTAAAACTGTGTTGTTGGACTCTTCCTTTTGCATCAGGTAGGACTGATTCTGTTAACCCTTATCAAAGCAAACAGAAGTATTGTATGCAGAAGTATTGTATTTTTCCTAGGTTACTGAATATGTATTTTGCCTATAAATTGCTTTAAATTGATGACGATTAACAAAAGAAAAAGGTGTCTAGTTATCTAAGCTTTTGTACATTTAATTCTTCTGGACATGTACTCATCAAACGAAACCAAGCACAATGAGCAGTAGTAGAGTATATCTTTCAGATAAGGTATAACGGCTTTTGAAAAAGATCCAATGAACAATATGTGTTCGTGATCTTAAAGCATTTGCTCAATTGAACAGCTGAAAATAAGTAATGTAGTTGCAGTTTTCTAGCTAGTTTCAGCACACAGAATTCTGCATCTCTTTCCGCAGTACAAAGTGAATCCAAACAAGTTAAAACAGATTGAGTTAGGAGGGATGGGGAAGAGGAACAGTTGGGAAAGAGGAATGTAGTACTCAATTCCTGTAACTTAAAAAACCCATAATACTAGAACTGGATAAAACTGGTATTGTTTTATTTCTGCAACTGTTGGGAGGAGTTTGTAGTCATTGCTCAGCTAGGAGTTAACTGCAGCAGCAACATACTACCTTATAAATTAATTTACTATGCTATTTTATCTACTGTTACATCTCTTGGGACCTGAGAATTCAGCATTCTCAGGCTATTTTCATTTTTGCAAAGCAGAGAAATAATGTGCTCAAAACTTGAACAAAGTTGTTATTAGACAAAGTAAATGCAACTCTCCGGTGCTGCTTGAGAGTTGTCTGCTATATGTTTCGATACATGTCCTTTGTAGGATTTTTTTGATAAATTAGATGTTTAATTTTTTTTTTTTAACTGCAAATTTATCTGTTCCAGCAGTTTTGAAAAGGTGAAAAAATCACTAACAGAACTGTTAGCAGCTACGCACAATCTGAACAGCTGTCTAGACTATCCAGACAGTTGCTACTGTCAGCTGTGAACCTCCACATGCAAATAACTTTTTGGCTTACATATTAACCCTTCCTCGTTTAATAGTGTGAAGTTGTCAGAGTTAGATATCTGTTTCTTTGGTTGGTTTAAAATTACTTAATCATGATAAGAATAGTGTATTGAATAACATGCAGAATTGTTTTAATACATTTGCATTTTACTTAATAGCAACCAAAACTTGGCTGTATTGTATTATTGTTGAATGAATGCTAGCCAGGGCAGTATGCTGTCAGTTTTGGTTTTAGATTCCTGATTTGCAATGGTTGAGGCTTGTAGTATTAGTTTGCTATTTGAAGTAATGTAAGTGAATGATAGTAATTTATATTCATTTATCTGATCTGAGAAATTTTAATAACCTTGCAAAAGCTGGGAAGACTGCCATGCTAAAGAGAGAACCTTCAGTTCTAATCTCAGCCTAGTGTGGGATGTATATTAGGATGGGTATTTCTGTTGCGGGGTTTGTTTCTCCTGCTAGTTTGATCTTTCAGAGGTTAACTGTGCAGCAACTAGTTATGAGTTAAGTGAAGTTGCAACTATAATGCCACAGATAAATGGTTAGTGTTTTAACTGTACTTTTATGTATAATAATGCTGAAATAATTTAGCTAAATTTACTTCTGAGTGAAAAAGCTACCCTATAGTTATTGATTCAGTAAGTCTTATGTGAAAAAATAGGATGCACGAGACTAAGAAAATTCTTTAAATCCATACCTGACAATTAAAATAAGTATGTGGAAATACGATTACTGAAATAATAAGATTTTAATCTAGAAAATCTCATCTGCAAAAGTAATGACATAACAGTTTGCAGAAATGCGGGAAGATTACTGTTGGCCTTGTATAATGTAAGGGTGTTGCCAAGGAAGTGATGCATTAATTTTTGTATGTGTCTTCAGTGTTTACCTCTGCTAAAGAAGCATCTATATAATCTTGATTGAACTTGTTGACTAACTTTAGCAAGACTCCGTGGCCTAGGCATAGTTAGCATAATAGAGATGACTGTCATTATTGCTGTTTTTAGAAGGAGCAGTGTGTCTGACTGGCTGGCATCTGTTTCTCTCTTTAAGACATAACATTCAGTAGACAGTTCAATTTTCAACATGTAGGTGAGACTTAACTAAATGTGAATTTCAGTGAGTTAGTTCAAGGCTTGCGATTCTGTGAGCTGAGTCACAATCTTGACATTTACCGTGGTTTAGAGAGTTGTAGAAACCCTTGTGTTTCAGACTTGAATGGAAGTTGTAGTAAGCTTTTTTTGGTCTGTGCTCTTTTGGATTAAGAGCCATGTGACTGTTGTAAGAACACCCTATTTTCCGTGTATTATTAACCATCTCACTTCCTGAAAGGTACATCGAAAAATCAGAGAAGATACAGATATGGCCCAAGATTCATTACAGTGTCTGGCACAGCTGGCGTCTTTGCACGGGCCAGTCTTTCCCGATGAAGGTTCACAAGTTGATTACCTGGCACACTTCATTGAGGGATTACTGAATACTATCAACGGGTATGTATGCCTGCTCTCTAAATTTAGATGGCATCTTTTAATCTTTGCTTTGGACTGTAGCATATCTGTGTGGAGAACTGGTATGGCTTGCTTATTTCTGGGTATAATTTGTGCTTACTGCTGGATTACTGAAATTAAGAAAAGGCAGTTTAAAGTAGGTTGTGCTTAAGTAATACGACATAGATTTATTGATTGAAAAGGTATCAACAAAATCAATTCACTTTTGGCATTTTTCTTAATGGCAAAAAACTAACTACTATTTCTGTCTGTAGAATTGAAATAGAAGACTCTGAAGCAGTGGGAATTTCCAGTATTATCAGCAACCTGATAACCGTGTTTCCTCGCAATATTTTAACTGCCATTCCAAATGAACTCTTCTCTTCATTTGTTAACTGCCTTGCACACCTCACTTGTTCTTTTGGAAGAAGTGCTGCCTTGGAAGAAGTGGTAAGTATCTGATCTCAAATAGTAGGTAGTCTATTTTTGTTTCTGCCTGTTTGTGATAAGCATAAGTGACATGAGAATTTGGCTGTTTTATTAATAACTGTTGTGAATTCAGCAATTGTGTTCTAGGTATTTCTGAAATCACATCTGAGAAGATTTTATTTTTGTTTCAAACAACATAATGAACATAATTACACACTGTGTGCATCTTTCAGACTTTGTTTTGATTTAAAACACTTCTCATTTTCCTTTTAAAAAGAATAGATTAATTTAAAAATATTAAAATCTTTAAATATTGCTGACTTGCTCTCGTGGGACTTCTCTGAAAACTGTAGTAGATAATGAACAACCTACAGTCCTGAAATCTTAAAATGACTACATGAACATATGGACAGACCTAAACTTAACTGCTGTCACAAGTTCTGAGTCAGGAACGTCTGTTTTAAGTGAACGTAGCTGTTAAGATCAGTTGTTAGCCCCATATTTCTAAGCTGTTCACATCATGATTTCTTCATTGCTGGCACAGTTCAAATGGTAATTCTGTGTACAAATCTATCACAGTAATTCAGAGGATTTGTTTGTTTGTTTGTTTGTTTACTTCTTTCAAACTGTAAAGAGCAGTTGAGATAGTCCAAGTCATCTGCTTCTAAAAATTGCATTAAAAATAAAAACTTCTAAGGTGATCTAGTTTAAGGAAAAAGCCCATAAGAAGTAAGGCAAATAATCTTGCACTGGAGCTATTTGTGTGCAGTAGCTATTGATTTAAAATGAGACTATCAAGATATTAGCCGGTATTTCCCCATTATAATTAAAAAGTATTAATTTTTACCAGTTTTGCTATATTGACTGGGTTTAATTACCTGAGTTTGGAAATAATTACAGAAGTATTTAGTTATAAAGTTGATGGATATGTTTCTTTACCAGAGATCATAGGTGTGTTAATTAGCATTCATTGCAGAGCATTAGATCATGTCTTTGCTGCGAGGTTAAAACATATCACTTTCAAGTGTGTTTGTCTCAATAAAAAAAATTGGTGATTAAATTTAGAATCTAAAATACAGCTACATTGCAAACATTTTTTTCATCAAAAATTTGCCCTGCTTTTGAGATTTTCTAGTAGAACATTGGACATATGTTCTGGTGCTCACCAACACATTTAGGAATGCTCCTGAAACCTTAATAAAAAAGATTCAGTAAAACCATAGGCACCTATCATTTAAATTAAAGGGGCTAAAGAGATGTTGTTTCCTCAATTAGCTTCTTGTTATTTGAGAGCTAGAATATGCAACCATGTTTAATAAAAACAGCGCTCAACATAATGCCATCCAAAACACTTAATCTCTCAGCAAAAGCTTACAGTAGCTTGTACCATTATCTGGTACAAAGTTTGTTTTAGAAATGTCTGGCCAGTTATGCATAGTAAACTGTGGCTGCCTACAGCTAAGTAATCTCATAAGTTTTGCTGAAGAAAGTATTTTCAGTATTTAAGTGTTCTCAGATTCAGCAACATCAGAAAGAGAAAATGCAGGATTTTTTTTTTTTGTTTTAAGAGAGAATTTTCTCACTATCCTTGAATCTTTAAATCATTCTGTGGAAAGAGAAACATTACACTTTTACCCCTTCTATTCTGTCTTAGCTCTTACAGATGTCTCAACTTCATGTTGTTTCTTGGATTTCCATGATATGTAATTCTGTGGTGATGGGTCTTCAAAAAAATAATTCTTATACCTTAATAGTGTGTCAGCAACAAGGCATGCTGCTGAGACTTTTAAGTTATAGCTGACTTAATCCAGATGGCATAATAACACTGTGGACTGTGCCTGTAGAAATACTTCTTTGCATCCCTGAAAACAGGAATGTCCCAGCCATGTTAGTGTGTTACCCGAGCTTCAGGCTTAGTCTGCTTGTAGTGACACCTTCTGTGAGCTTATGTGCTGTCTGTAGTTAAGAGCTTTTGATAGATAAAATACATGTGTGCTGGGCTCAGTAGAGTCCTCAGATAATTTTCCTGTAACTTTTCAGAAATCTGAAGTGCAGCAGACTGCAGGCAGGCGTACTCGTTAAGCTTTGCTGGTTGGAAAAGCTGTTCCCCCATATTTCTGCCACTTCATATGCCAGCAGAACATCTCACGTAAACACTGCAAAAAACCCCATCAGGCACAAGGAATCTACTTAGCTGAAGACCTGCTATGGAAACTGTCAAAACTGGGAGGTCCCAAACCATAACATGCAAACCACTTCAAAGCAACCAAGGGGGAAAAACCCACAATCCAAACAGCATGTTCAAATGCTGTTTACATTAACCTGCCTGATGGGGAGATTGGCTGAAGGAAGTTGAAACATTTGCCTGAACAGCTACACTGGTGGCAGGCAGTAAGCTTCAGCAGTGCTGGGGGTTAGTTTATGGTACAATTTGGACCAGTGATCTTTTCCTTTAATAGCACTGGGTCTGAGAGAAGATGCTTGTCCACAGCTATGCTTCACCTTGCTCAACATATAGTGCTTATGCAGAAGTAGAAATCAAATAGTCCATCTGAATTAATGAGGAGTATGGACAGAGTATTGGATGAAAAGTCAGACAAAAATTCTACCAAAGGCTTCTTTTTCTCAAAATAAATTTGATCCTCTCTGCTGTGCTTCCAACTCTTTCCAGCTTGTTGCTGCTTGACAAATTTTAGAAGTCTTCTTTCTTCAAAGGGTCAGCAGATTGTGAAGGAAGAAGTACCAATTTTCTTTTTGTTTCCCATACTAGAGAAATTAAGCATCTTTGCTTTGACTTTACTGGTTGTATCTTGTCTTTACTGAAGATCTGAGTTCTGAACTGATCTCTGCCATTGCTTCTGCTGGATCCATGAGAACAGTTCAGCTCCCCGGTCACATAGTTTACATGTATGACACCTTTGGTAGCCCAGCTGTAGCTGATCTGAAATAAAGACTGGGAATTTTTAGTTAAGATTCTTTTGTGACCAAATTTGTTCAGTATGGATAAATTCTTTCTCCTATTTGGGCATGTATTTTATGGAAGCACTTACTAATCCTAGCTTTCTTAGGAGAATACAATGAGGTGTTAAAAACTTTTTTTTTTCATGGCATTAACTTCTGTATTACCTTTTCAAATAAATGAATTGGACAGATCTGAGTTCTTTGGTTTATGCTCTGGATTCTTCTAAATTATTAAAGGTTATATGTAAGTTATATATGTAAATATATTATACACGTATGTCAAAATATTTCAGGACTGGATGACTGTCTATGAATTCTTGTGTCCTTTAGCCAAGTTTTCAAAAGACATGTTGTGGTGTCCATCCTAAATTTGTGGCTTACGTTAGTGTTGAATACAGTTTTGCCTCTCTCCTTGTCATCTTCAGCTTTGTTTTCACGCTTGCATCAGTGTGCTCCATATTTCAACTTCCGTAAATATGACCACTTTGCAGTCATAAAATGATGCTGTGAAGCTATCTTGAAATGCTTCCAATGTGATATCAGTTTTCCCTTTTAATCAGTCATCCAGCCAGTGTTTTCTTTTCCTTGCCTGTTCATCCAGCCGTGTTTGTAACTTCACTGAAAGTCAGGAATTCTTTGTCTGGAGCATGATTAGGGCCTTAATATCTCTTCATTACATCAGGGAATCATTTTACTAAGCTTTACTATCTCAAAGTAACTTTTGTGAACAATCCTGTTGGTTAAAACTTGAGAAGACTTCTTAGAGGAAAGAAATGTTCTTTCTTTAGCAGCATGTTTATCTGTACAGTTACACAAGTTATTTCAAGGTGGATAGATTTACTGAAGTTCAACTTTTGCATCAAATCAAAAAGTGGGATATGTACATTAAAAAGACTTCTAAAAAGAAATGGCTTCTTTGTTATTTGAGTTCTTTAGTTTGCCTGTAACCCAGGACTTTGTTTTTCAGATGTTATTTCCTTTTGCAACTTATGTACTATGTAGAAACACATACGAATAACTAAAAACATGAAGCATTGATTAAAACGCATTGAGCAATTGGAGGTGCAGGCTTATTCTGTGAAATTCCACTTTTTTTGCTTGTTCCTAGAATGAGAAGTTGTTTATTATCATCAAAACTGGCTCTAGTAAGGTTTCTTGAACACATGCAATCTTACAGTTATTTCCTCTGGAACAGAGAATTGTCATCTTTTCTCTCTCTTTTTTCTAGAAATAGTGGAATACATGTAAATCTATATGCACATGTTCTATATTTGTCTATTTAATTAAAAAGAAAAGGCTCAATTCTTTGTTGTTACTAATAAAAGCTGAGATGCTTGGCATCTTTGAGGTAAAAGCTCAGTAGCTCCTGTATATAGGTAACTATGCATTAAAGGCTTAATTTAAGACTGTTTTGGTTTTGAACATCAGATGAAGAGAAATAGCTAAACACTTTGACAGGTTTTTAAAGCCTAGCAAGCAAGAAAGCTGCACTGACCTTTTTGATGCTTCAGTTCATTCTGATATTTTCTTGGCTATCCTTAGATGGGTTTTGTGACTGATTTTTTTTAATTGTTTCAATGTTAGAAGGACATCTGTTAAATAAAAATGGATATAAGTATGTTTCTCTGGTTTAGTTTAGGAATAAGATTTTTGGTTTGTTTCTTTCATCTCTTACAGCTTGACAAAGATGACATGGTGTATATGGAAGCATATGATAAGTTGCTGGAATCTTGGCTTACTTTGGTACAAGATGACAAACATTTCCATAAAGGTTTCTTTACCCAACATGCTGTTCAGGTCTTTAATTCCTACATTCAGTGCCATCTAGCTGCTCCTGATGGTACAAGGAATTTGGTAAGCCCCCATTCTAGTAGTTCTTCATGATGATACATATTACCTAGCCAGTATCTTTTGGTGTGTATTATATTATGTAGCTTAAGGGAGCTAGTATAGAATTACTATTTGTGACTTTGGAAATGAAAAATTTTCTGAATTGGTTACACAGTGGTCATTTTTCAGTCTGTTTCTCTCATTCTGAAGAGGAAATAAAAGAACACAAAGTTGGAAATAACTTAAAAAAAAGAAAAAAGTAAACCTGTTACTCAAATCAATGTACAAATCTTGCTGTTCTTCCCACAGATGCAATGACTAAACTTTTGACCATCCTTCTCTGGACTAGAGTCCTAGTTAAAATCCTCCTCCATGAAACTGAAAGCCTTTTACATGGTTGTTACTTCCCATACATTATCTTCAAAGTATACTTTTTAAGTATAATTGATATGCAAAATGAAAAAATGTACAATGACTATGCTCAGACTTGAAGGAATTTGCAATATTATGTGGTTCTTTTGAATAAAATTAATTCCCAACTGAATTTTTGTGGTGACTGTTCTAGAGAAAACCTAACAGCTCTGTTGAGGATCCACTGATAGAAGTATGATATAAGGTGCTGAATGACTCTCTCACAGAGATGGTCTGCAAACCCAGTGGTCAGAAGAGTGCTGAAATATATTTCCATTTCACTATCTCTTGAGCCATTGAGAAAGAAAGCAGATTAGTCTCTTTGCCAGGAGTCTGGATCTTACTAAAATAGATTCTCATAGAGAAAGTTGGATGTAGATGTTGGGTGAATTAATTATTGCATAGATTCAGTTCAATAACTACATAAAACATCTCTTTAATTTGATGCTGCGCAAAGATCTCCAAGATACCTCACTCTGAAAAGCACCATCTAAAACGTAATTCTGCTATCACAATATGTAACAGATGGAAATAACAGTGCCAAAACAGAAAGAAATATTTCACAAGAGAACTTTGAATTCATATCAGGCGGTCTTGACATAACTTGTATACACAGGTTAATTCATGTCATTCTGTGAGATAAGTAATTTATCCCATGGGCAACCTTTTAAAAGCCACAGCTGGCATTTTGAAATGCTTCTTGTTCAATATCAAAGCAGTAACAGGAACTTTCAGTCTCTGCTTTGAGAGCAGAGGCTCATCCTTCAGTAAACAGCTGCAACTTTGAAGTTGTCAAAAGAGAATGATTTGCTGGGTTACATAAAAAGATGGATCTCGGAAGCACTTTGGATAAGGAGTTGTGTGTGGAGTCAGTTTTCCAGAGCTTTTATAGAAACAAAACAGACTAGTATCTTTCTCTATCACTTTTATTTTACATTGTTAGTTGTGTAAATGTTATGATTCTTTTAAGAATTTTTAAAAACATTTTTAACATCGATACTTAGTTTCTGCATATCATGGAATGCATTCAAGGAATAAAGCCTTATTATTATTTAAGTTGTTTTATAATGCAGCTAAGATAAGCTTTGAGAAATCAAACAATGCAATGTCTGCATCAGCAAGAAGTAAAACTGAGATGATGATGATGTAGTAGTAGTAATCTCCTGTTTTCTTGAAGTTATAGCATTTACTTTTTAAAGCTTTTTCCCCCTCAAACAATGTGTTATGGAAAAACCTTAATGAAATCGATGATTTTTATTTCATCATGAAAAATACTACCTATTATGTGATTTATGTAAGATCTCAGAAAACTGAGAACAATATATTTGACTAATGAATAGGGGAAAGCATGAAAGTTCCAATATTTAAAATGGTTCTTGGTCTGCTATATATGTGATTTGAAATGCAAATGTTCTTCAGCAATCTTCTGACCACTTCTTGCAGACCATCTCTGTGAGACAGTCATTCAGCACCTTATATCCTACTTCTAGCAGTAGATCCTCAACAGAGCTGATTTATATACCCTGTGGTGTAAAGAAGCTGTTTTGCTATTGTCTAGCCTATGCTTATCCTAGTATCAGTTTTCATAACTCTTATCCTTGACTTTTTTCACAAAGTTTATCTTTTGACTTCAGAGTGCTGTTGGAAATGGTAGCAGATACATGATTAGCTGAATGTGACATTTTGCTAATGAGTTTAGGAAATGCTGATTTTAAAACAATATAGAGCCATGTTTACTCCTCTGTTTAACTCTCCTGTGTCTAATTTAGTACAAGTCTGTTGTTCATCCATGCAAAACACCTTGAAAGAAAAAACCAAAATAATGTAGCAAATTGTGGTGATGATAAAATGTAAAATGCGTAAGACTAACTGCTTGCTTCTAATTTTATTGAAATAATCACAGACTGCCAATGGTGTGGCCTCTCGGGAAGAAGAAGAAATAAGTGAACTGCAGGAAGATGACAGAGACCAGTTCTGTGACCAATTGGCTAGCGTAGGCATGCTGGGGAGAATTGCTGCAGAACACTGTATACCTCTTCTTACAAGGTACAAAAAAATAGTCATGAATGCAAATCAATAAAGCCATCACATATGAAAATATCACATAGGACTTTGCTGAAATAATTTAAAAAGTGACGTTATTTTATTGTTATTTGTCCACAGTTTATTAGAAGACCGAGTGACAAGGCTCCATGGCCAGTTGCAGAGGCATCAGCAGCAGTTACTTGCCTCACCAGCATCAGGCTCAATTGACAATAAAGTGCTTGATGACCTGTATGAGGATATTCATTGGCTTATTTTAGTCACAGGTTAGTGAACAGCTTTAAATAGTACTTATTCTGGTATTCTTATGGCAGCTAGAACACCTCAGGAAAAAGAAAAATCCCTGTATATCAACTCCTCTTAATTGACTATAAATTTTATCCCTTATGATGCTTCCATCTTACATACACTACTTGCAAAGTTTTACTTTCATCTACCTTGAGTAACATGAACATTATCTTTAAGACTGATGAAATCTTTACATGAGGTAATGTCCTTTGGAAATTCCCACAACTATTTTTGTTAGATTTATTGAGATGTGTTATCAGTCAGCCTCTTCAAGAAATTAGTCTGTTCATTATATCACTTGCATTGTCTGGGGCCAGATGACTTTATAAGGGAATGAACATGAGATCAGGATAACAGTATTACTCAGTGGTGGCAAAGAATCAGGTAAGTTCCAGAATCTCTAAGTGCTGATGATAAATGTCCTGGCATTTTGTTATGTTTTAGGGAACTTGAATTTAGAACCTTTTTGGTTTTGATTTTTAGATGGAACTATCTTACATCTGTTTGCAAAACATAATAACAACTAAGACAGTACCTGTACTTTGTTAGGAGCAATGTATACTTTACGAAATATTTTTGGGGATCTTTTTGAACATCTGACGTTCTAGTCAGTCGCAGATGTCGACATGAATGTGTATCACTGTGGAATGGAGTTTGTATGTGTAGCTCACAGATGGTTATAATTGAAAACTATAACTAAAGCTGGAATTAATATTAATTATCTAGACACCAGAGTATTGTATAAAAACCCATGCTTCACCTGGTGTGCAGTTGCTATGCCTCTGACAGATTTGAAATGTTAACAGAAGTCCCAAATGAAATGGATTCAGTGGGGAAGCTGTAAAATCAAGGCTTTTTTAATCACATAACAGAAGAAGAAAAAGTGACAACAGAATGTTGTGTTTTGGTTTTTTTTTCTCCTCTATAGTTGAATTGACTGCAGTACTTTTACATGAAGCAAAGCTTATCTCTTCTTTTATGGGTTGGTTTGTTTTTTTTTTTTAATTTGGTGGTTTCTTTTCCAGTCTTGGTTCTTGTTACTTTAGATTCTTCTTTACTGAATGATTTTAAAGATTCTGAAGTTAACTTATATGTATTTAAACATTGTTAGTCAGAGTTTGCATAAATGTTTAATTCTGGTGTGATGTCTGCAATTAAGCCAATGTATTCTCTAATGAAAAAGCCCTAAGTTAACCTAGGGTAGAAAGTTGTGATCACTCTTTCTTTTTTAATGTAAGGCTACCTCTTGGCTAATGATACTCAGGGAGAGACTCCGCTAATACCTCCAGAAGTAATGGAATATTCCATTAAACATTCAGCTGAGGTTGACATCAATACAACACTTCAGATTCTGGGATCTCCAGGAGAAAAGGCCTCTTCCATCCCAGGGTACAACAGAACTGATTCTGTAATTAGGTAAGGATGCTTCTCCTGCTATTAAGAATGCTAAATGCTTTTTTCAGAGAAAAAAAGTGAGAATGTGAGTGGACTTCTTTGAATCTGAAAAATAAAAAAGCAGTATGTAAACACTGAACCTTGGAAAAGAAATGTCTATTACCTAGTATTAAAGTAAGGAAAAGTAATTTATAAGAATGGTTTTATAACAAATGTTAAGACAATGCTGTAAAAGAGATTAAGAAAAGACAGAAATGATGAAGTGATTTTTGTTTAGGGTAAAGAATGGCAGGGTAAATACAGATGATTATTCAAGTCAAATGAGAGTAAGGCAGCAAAACAGATAAAACTGAGTCAAGATGGGAAGGCTGAAATGACTAGATTGACCTAATAATCTGAACTGAGGACATGAGCCAGAATCTTGGTAATTAACAGAAATGTTTTATATCTCTACTAAAAACCCATCTTTGATCTATTTGTTACAGAAAATCCTTAAAATTACTTAAATTACTAAAAAGTTGGTAGATCAAAATCTTTAGATAATATACTATATGCTCTGCAATTCATTCAGCACATGTACTGCTTAAGCAAATGCTTTCCAGAGCATCAGTGAGCTCATCTGCTTTGAACATGAGGTGCTGCCCAGGGTTGTCAGTAACAGCAAAATCGGTCCTCAGTGTGTGAGGAATTGTCACATATGTACTCATACCACTATTAAGGGATACTCCTATAAAGGGAGCAGGAGAGGAGATTTCTGTCCTCTTTTTGCTAGGAGGCTGATGCCCACAAAGGACTCCTCAATTTGAATCCTCACACTTATGAAGATTGCATTCCACTTTTAATTGACATGGAAGATTCTTCACCCAAGATTAGTTGTTGTGTACTTAATGTTTTGTTCTTCTGGAAGAAGCTAGAAAAAATGGATCTTCGTTAGCAATGATGTGCCTAATGTTTAGAAGTTTGAATACTGCTCACTAATACTGTTAGCAGCTTCAAGAAGTGGCCACCAAACAGGATTTTTCGATGCAGTGTCTCAGTGGTGATGGAAATAAGATCTAAATAAGGAGAGATTTGAGGCTCTCTGGCAATAGCTCTGAAATGCCTTTGAGAACAACCACTGTCAAGTCCTAACTTCCTTGGGCACTATCACATTCTTACCAAGTTTAATTGATATACTAGAAAAGCTGATATTTAATGTAGTTTTATGGACTGATAGTATTGATGCAATCACCTGGTGATATGCTGTTTCAGACTTTGTCTGCAGTAATGAAAAAGATAAATAACTGGTCATTTCTGTGTTTGTACTTTAGTACACATCACACTGCAAAAGCTGCACAATTAGGACCTGCTTGGTCACTAAGTTTGGTGGTGCAAGGGAGAATTAGGTTTTCAAAAAAGCTTTTCAGGCACTCCAAGTAGTAGTCCATTTGCCTTCATTCCCTCAATGTCAGAAGGCTTGTGAGGATTCTTTGTTGCTGTAATAGTGATGTAAAAGATAATCACCTTATCTTTTAATTCTGACTTTTTGGAGGATATTTGCCAGTCTGTCCTGTCTCTCTCACTCTTTGCGTTTAAAGGAACAATAAATTCAGGTGCTTTTTACTTCATTAGAGTTGAACTACTTGTGTTACCCTGTTCCTTCTGTCGTATTTAATGAAAAATGAAAGTGTTTGGTAGTTGCACTGCTTTTCCAAAAACCACTGTCAGCATCCTCATTGTATTTTAAATCTGCAGGTTGTTATCTGCTATTTTAAGAGTGTCAGAAGTAGAATCTAGAGCAATAAGGGCAAATCTCACGCACCTCCTGAGCCCCCAGATGGGCAAAGATATTGTATGGTTCCTCAAGCGCTGGGCAAAAACATACCTCCTAGTAGATGAAAAGCTGTATGATCAGGTAAGGATATAACTTTTATGAATTAATTGGTGAGTATTAGCAATAATACTATCCTGCAAATGCAGATGTCAGTGTAGCTATTTGTAAAGTGCAATGATAAAGCATTTTTAATGTTAAATGAGATGTGGTTTATTTTGGAATTTGTTTGAAAGTTAATGTTTTCTTCAGCTTTTTAATTAGAAATATAAGTTGTTAGGGGACCCTTCTTGCACATTTTGGTGCAAATGTGATTTTTTCATTATTTTTTTTTTTTTTGGTAGCCATTGTCATAGCAGAATAGCGTAGCACACTCAGGCTCCATAGTGGATGAAACTCACTGACTACAGCAGTTTTATAAGCTACTTCTCACTATCCATCAGATCTTACATATCTAATACAGTGGTTGCCCTTGATGGATGATTTAGTGAGTAACCTGGTCATGATTCTGAATTAGATTAGATATTTAACACCATCACCAGGTAGTATACATTAGCTAATGTCATGCTACTTTCTCTCCTTTCCCCGTTCTTAATACATTCTCATTGTACACATCATTATTTTAATGGTGTGTTCTTTATAAAGGGCAACTTCTTATCGTATTTGGACAGCACTAATCATGATTAGACCTTGATCCTGATTTTGCTTATTGAACTAACTGTAATCCAGCTAGCTGACAGAGGCTACTTGTCCTGAGGAGGTCTTGTTGGCTCTAACTTTTGAGAAGGAAGCTGCCTCCTCCCCTTTATTTCCACTGTTGAAACAACTAAGAATACTAACACTTCAGGAGGCCCCTCCTTAACAAAAACAGGTGTACCATAGACTTACAAATATTTGGAATCATATTATTCAGCTTGTACTTGCAGCAGAGCTAAGAATTTGTAAAGGTACCAGTTGGGGAAGAATTGGAGAGCATGTAAGAAAGAGATGCACATGACAAACAATGTAAAGAAATAAAATAGAGTGTATAGGAAATGCACACGTTTCGTTTGCATTGACATATGAAAGTGATTGAAGCCTCTGTTTAAACCTCATGCTCAGTCATATATATGTCATGAGTTTTAAAGTTAGAAGTGTTAGTGGTGTGCTGACAGGAAGCTCCTGCACAATTATTACAAAATCCTTGGATTTCACTCTTGAGAAACTTTATAAAGACAGGAGAACAGGCAGTTTCAAAGAAGCATATTTTAATGTGCCAGGACCAGAATGTGACATCTTTCCTAGAAGATGTAGAGATTGAAAGAACAATCTGTAGAAAGCAGTTGCAGAAAAATTGCTATTAAAATAAGCTTTTAGAAGATTTTGTCTAGATCAAAGCTAGGTATATTGCTAGTAATTTTTGTCACTGAATTTTGAGGAATTTCGTCTTAAATTTGCAGAAGCACTTTCGGGAGATGATTTGGGGATCTTCCTTTTAATTTTTGAAGCTTTCAAACTTTCATTGGCTTTAAAAGCTAGAATACTCAGACTTGATTTTTTAATGAGGTTTAAACTTTTCTTTGTTTTAGGTGTTGTGCTTAAAATTGCAAGATAAATTTGGCAAAGATTTTTGTATTACAGATATTCTTTGCCTTTGTCTATGTAACATTTGTGTATTTTAAGTAGGGAAGAAGTGACAGCCTGAAAAGAATTTGCTGACAATGATTACCATACATTTTTGAGGTTCTGGCTTCTGTAAAACTCACTCATTTTAATGCTTTTCTTATAGATAAGTCTGCCATTTAGTACAGCATTTGGTGCTGATACAGAGGGTTCCCAGTGGATTGTGGGTTACCTTTTAGAAAAAGTGATCAGTAACCTGGCAGTGTGGAGTTCAGAGCAGGACCTTGCAAATGATACTGTACAACTGCTAGTAACATTAGTGGAAAGGAGAGAGCGGTAAGTTGCTATACCTCTGGAAGTCAAAAAATTTATTTTGCTTCCTTTAAATTTTTTTGGCCAAAGTAATCCGGATATAGGGCACTTCATGTTAATGTCTTTGTAAGTCAAATTGCTTTAGTAACATACTATAAATTAAAAAAAAGTTGTCTGACAAATTGAGGAGTGAGACCTGTATTTGACAAAACATAACATAATTTTCGTTATTGGTTAGAAGTGCACTCTCCTTCCCTTACCTTTGTGCCTCACTCTTAAACAATGAGAAAGGAAAACTCGGTCTCCACTCTTATTGCAAGGATTCTTGTGGTGTTGTTTATTTTTGTTGAACAAGCTCTTCTGGATTAAGAGTTCAGATACTGGCTTAGCCAGTATAAAATGTGTTTTATAAACGTATCAGTTTTTTTTAAAAAACACAGGATTTGGTGAATGCAGACAAATTTTGAAGTTTTCTTTGATATTACAAGCTGTGAAGCAGGAAATTCTTGAATGTTTTACTTTTGTGAATTGACATGCAATTATACATACAATCACGCATTCACAGTCTACTGAAAGATGGTTCTGAAGTTTGAGGATTTAAGTGCCTGAGGAATTTTCTTTTTTAAAAAAATTAGAACCCACAGGAACTAGTTTTGGAGTAAACTGATTATTTTATCATGACATAATTAGACTAAGCTTTTAATCCCTGCAATATGTCCACTAACTCTGTGTGTGTATGTGCATAAAACTAAAGCATTTCCCTGCTTTTCTCCCATATAAATTGAGCTATTTGCAGAGTATATACTTTAGAAATCTTAGAGGTGAAGCATTAAGAAGATTAAAGTCAAAAGGCAATTTAGCCTTATTATAAGGAATGAAATAAAATAGTAAAAATCTTCTGACAACTGCTAGCAACCCGATGTGTTCTGTTCATACAATTTTGTGAAATATTTTCTTTAATTAAACTGTTTTTCCCTCTTTTAGGGCAAACTTAGTTATTCAGTGTGAAAACTGGTGGAATTTAGCTAAACAGTTTGCAAGGCGAAGCCCTCCTCTTCACTATTTGTCCAGTTCTGTGCAGAGAACACTAATGAAAGCTTTAGTTTTAGGAGGTTTTGCTCATATGGATACGGAAACAAAGCAACAATACTGGACAGAGGTAAGCTGTTTGGATGTTTCTGTTACCTCCATTTTAGCAAGTAGTACAAACAGTTTAAGGAATTTTATGCTGACACAAGATCAACTTATATAGAATCTTTTTATTTTTAACATCTAATATCGATAATTTTTAAAATTAATCTCTCTTCGAAGGTCAATAGTTGTATTGCACTCATGAGCTGCCAAAAACTGTATCTAAAACATCACAACCTAAACAGAAACAACTAATAATTACCTGTAGGATTCTTGAAGCAACCAGTATAGCAGTATACTTGAAAGACACTATTATAACCGGTTAAGAATTTTACTTGGAACTGTCATTTCTTCCTTTTATTTTGATGTGGTGGTGTTACAAATTATTCACTTAATGATATTGACAATAAGTAAAAAGCTCATGTGGAACATAGTGAAGAGCCTTGACCAGCTTTTCATGCCTGGCTCCATTAAAGCTCAGATATTTAATACCAGAAAGGCTGGTGCTAGAAAGTAGGTGAAATGTGATTAGGAAGCACCATAAAAGTTTGTAAAGCACTGGCCTTCCAAAAGAAACTTGCTTTTTATTAGCAAAGCTATGAAATTAGTGATTGAGGGTAAGACTATAATGCACTGGAAGTAATTGGGGAAAAATACTTAACTATTTTAATGGATGTTTCTAAATTGATTGCAAACACAGCTGATTACAAAAGAGATTACGCTATTGAGAATCATATTATGACACAGATAACTGTAAACATGAATCTTATTAATACTTTCATTGATGAACTGTAACAATATTGTTCCCCTAATATTGATTTGGAAGAGAATCAAATACTGTGAGTCAGAGAAAGTCATTGTCATTTGGTTAAACACTACAAAATAACATAAAATATTTAGGAAGGTGCTCATTTCGAGACCAGCCTACAGGTGATGGTGGATAATAAGAATCACTAATCACTACCACTTCAGCTTACATAATGTGACGGGTAATAACATAATTGAGCTGTTGGAAACTGGAAGTGATTTGATTCTTGTACTGCCATGCCAAAAGCAACCCATGAGCTTGATAAATTAGTTAAACATCACATCTCATATAATTGTATTATCTTAATGTGACTTTTTCAAGGTTCTTCAGCCACTTCAGCAGCGTTTCTTGAATGTGATAAACCAAGAGAACTTTCAGCAGATTTGTCAGGAGGAGGAGGTGAAACAGGAAATCACTGCTACATTAGAAGCACTCTGTGGCATTGCTGAGGCTACCCAGATTGATAATGTAGCAATTCTCTTCAATTTCCTAATGGACTTCCTTAATAATTGCATCGGATTAATGGAAGTATACAAAAACACACCAGAAACTGTTAATCTCATAATAGAAGTCTTTGTAGAAGTTGCACATAAACAAATTTGCTATCTTGGAGAGGTAAATAAAACCAGAAGGGGAAGGAGGGAAAGA